GCAGTGAAAATTATTAATAGGCAATCGTTCGATGGGTTGAATTGCACAAAACGCATGATCGCACCGAGTAGTCTGGTGCGTGTTGCTACTTATTTTTAACTTGTGCCGGAAGTCCAAATGCAAATACTCCAGGACGAAACGATCGATAACTTCCGACTGCGGCACTTTCGCATGTTGAGCCGGTTAAAAAATCATGAGAAACTGCTGCGTGTATTGGCGGGTTGAACAAGTTTGGTCCCTGCAGCAGCATATATCAAAGATGCGTGACGGCGCTCGGTGTGGTCCGCATTTTATTGTGTACAGGGAATTATCATAAATTTAGCATATATGATTTTGCAATTTAGCTCCGTCGCGTCACATAAACCGACCGAAACCGTGGGTTTATTGGGAGGGACAGTCAGACAAAGCGGCAACAACATCGATACCCTTCTTCCATATACCGTGGTCACGTGTTGGTATGACTGGTCGAGCAGCGACGCTTCCGGATGGTTACCAGTACGGCCGAAATGCTTCACTGGACGGTCTTGATACAACAATCAGCACACACTTTTCGGATCGTAAGTTTGCTTCTACATTTCAGGCTTTCAAAATTGACGACGATCTCTGTTATTTGTAATCCTTGGATTTGCAAGCGTTTATGTGTTTGATTGCGAACAAGCGTTATTCTCTTGGAACAGGGAGAAACGCTTCAGATGAAGTGACTTCCCTCTGCTAAGAGTGCTGAAATTTTTTAAGTGAATTAAAAGCTTGGACGATGAGCTAGGCATTGTCTTGCGGAAAGATATTTCGTCTTCAGAGAGGAATGTGCTAATTATGCTGGAGCGGGAATGCATGTACTTTGCCGCCGTGAGGGAACGGCATTGCAGAGGTTGAATTTCTTAGGACTTTTTCAGTCTCAGTTTGAAGCCAGGTCGTTTACTCTTCTAACTGCCAGCAAGCAAATTTTTGCTTCCTGCATAGGCTGCTTAATAGTAAATGGTCATAGAATTGCATGGTGACGTGAGGCGCTATACGATACATCTGTAACACACAAGACAGTGAGAAACTACATGAATTTTCCACTAAATCATGAAAATATACAGATTATTTGTGAGGCAGAAGTTACCTTCTGTGGACGGTATTTCGAAGAATTAGTTTGTTCTCTGAATTGAAGAGAGGTTATTGTCTGGTCGCAGTAAATTTGCCAGCTTAAGGTTTTTGTGAACAGATCGTTAAACATCGTGAAAAATCGGCATTGCCAGAATTTTATGCATCTGTTTATGTCGCATACGGCCCGCCTCATTTCTTTATCTTTGGACAGTTGCCTCGTTGAATGCCACCGGCACTTTGCAACATTGCCGAGCTTGTTCAAATCTGATTTTATTCATCCTGGCTGTGTTAAAGAGCAGCGATAATTTTGACGAGAACACCATGTGGATGATACAGCACAACACGTCATCTCGCATACTTTTATGAAACGCAGTTCCTCGTTTTCTCGCTCGCTCTTCCCTCCTCCTCCTCTCCTTCCTCCAGAGCTTCTCTTCCGCATCTCCTTGTTGCTTGTTCAGGAGTATCGTTATTGCCACTTTTATACACTATGACTCCTCATAATTGTAGAAACTGTTCATATAGTCGTTAATTTTTCTGGTCAAACACAAAGTCGGTTTGGTGCGGTTATCATTTTTTTCTGCACTTGAAGTTTGTGATAAGTGCAGAATGAGACAAATTTTATTTCAGAGTCGTTAAATGGTCGTGGCGGAACATTACCTGATGAGTATCGTGGTGGAACAGTGGGTGTTGGTGCTGCAGGTGCGGGAGCGCTGAGGAGTTCATTGCCGGATATGAGTAAACCGGCAAAAATTTATCCGCTAACTGTATTGCAAACATCAAACAAGAAGCTGCCAGACGACGTTGATCGAGCCCATTTGGAGCGACACCTGAACAGAGATCAGTTTGAGGAGACGTTCAGCATGAGCCCGATCGAATTTTACAAGCTGCCGGAATGGAAACGAATCAATTTGAAACGAAAGGCGAAGCTGTTTTAGTTTCTTCTGTGAATGGAAACGATGCCAGTGCAGTATGAAGATGAACATCCGATTCATGTGCAATTATGAGGCTTTCCTTGTGACACTTCTTCTGACTGTGGCTGTACTCTGCCAAAGCCGCGCCTCCAGTAACCTTCCATTTTGAGTGAGGGATGGCATTGAGCATGCCTTCCGTCCAGTGCCCTCTTCTCATCGGTGTTTTTTATTTTGCTTTTGTAGCCAGTAATACACTTTTGGAATGTATCTTTGTGCAGCAAAGTTTCATAGTCGGATC